GTTTATTTGATCAAGGTTAAAACAAGATATGTTGTTATTTCTGATAACCCTTTATTGACTTTCGTCTGACAGAATGACTAAAAAGATGATTTCTTATGGATTTGTTTGTTTATAGATAAGAATATGAAATGTATATGAAATGAAGTATTTGAAATGAAGAGATAAATGTTGATAATATTAGAAGGGGTGTAGAATCACCAAATTCTAAAGTCTCTCTCTCTCTCTCTCTCTCTCACACACACACACACACAATGTGCACATATACACATGTGTATCCTTATTGTATTGCATTTCCCTTTTTTTTCTCTTGCACTTTTTCTTTCTTTTCTTTTTCTTGGTATTAGATTTTACTATTATAATCACAATTCTTTTATATATATACACACACACATACACATCACTCTGCGTGTCTCCTTGTTTATCCTTCATGCTCTCCAGCCCAACATTGTTGCTTATACTCCAGTTAATTCTGCATTTCTTTCATTTTCTTACTTTTAAAAACTGCCTTATTTTTAAAGGCAGCCACAAACCAGTTGGCATTTTTATTCCGTAGAGTGTACTTCTTGTCTAGAGGCACCAACTTTGATTAGTGAACAAGTTTATTTCATGTTACAGGTAATTTATAAAGCTATCAGGCAAACATTGACCTCAACTAGCTTCTTTCTCATTTTTTTCTGATATGTTGGTTGATTAAAAGTCTATGATAAATTAAATTCAAATATTGAAGCGAGATGATTGCATAGTCATGTTTTCTTCATAGTATTTTTTGCCAAGAATGCTGCAAAGATGTATTTTGTTCGTTTTTCAAATTAACCTATTTCACTTCTCTGACAACTTTGTGCAATGGAGTACATCTTCTGGATAACACACTTCTTAAATTTAGTAATGCAGTTTTCAGTTAAAAGAAATACACCAAAAAGGTTCATTTTAAAGGAATGTTAGGAAATATATATCTTTGGGGGTATATAAAGGTATATTTGTGTTTATAATACAAAACAGAATGATTTAATTTGTCCATCCCTAATTTTATTATATGGTATGAAAAAAATAGATCAGAGAGGCCAGCTTTTCCCACATCAAGAATCCTGTTTATGGAAGATCCTTCTGTTGCTAGGTATGCAAAGATAAGCATTAGGAATAGCATTTAGGCTTATATACTGCCCCATAGCATTTTACAGCAGTCTCTGGGTAGTTTACAACAGGAGTCCCCAACCCCTGGTCCATGGACCGGCACCCCAGGCCGCAGCATGCCAGTAAATAAGCGAAGCCCCATCCAGCACACGGATCCACGCCCCCTCTGGTCCGTGGAAAAATCTTTCTCCACAGAACCGGTCCCAGTGCCCAAAGATTGGGGGGGGGGGCTCTGGTTTACAATGTAGAAGCACTATTTGCATATTTCCCCCAACAATCTGGGTCCTCATTTTACCAAACCTGGAAGGTTGGAAGGCTGAGTAAACCTTGAGTCCCATCAGGAATGAACTCCAGGCTATGGGCAGAGTTAGCCTAAAATACTGAACTTTAACCACCGAGCCATCAGAGATAAACGGCTCCTGAAGATGTGGGTTTTAATGAGCTCTTATGGCCAGAGCAAGTTTTCAGGTGAACATCAGGAAGAGCTTACCAATGGTCAGAGATATCAACAGTGGAACAGGCTGATTTTGGAAGGGATTAAACAGAGGTTGGATGGTAATCTGTTAAGATGCTTAAGAAGTCAAGTTCTATGCTGGGCAAAAGGATGGATAATCCATTTCCAAATTCACCCCAATCCTTAATTCCTAATATAACTGTATTTATAGATTTCATTATTTTTATAATTAACTCAAGGCGGCAAAGATATTTAGCCCTCTTTTCCCCACAACAACAACCCTGTAAGTTGGGCTGAGAGAGTGTGAATAACCCAAGATCAAGCTGACTTTCGTGCCTAAGACAGGACTAGAACTCACCATCTCCCAGTTTCTAACTTGGTGGTTTAATCACTAGACCAAACCAGTTCCTTTTATTGTTCAGCTTTTAAAAACTGGAAATATAGAATGGCATGGAAGCCTATCCCAATAGAATATTGATTGCATTACAGGACAGAGTAGTATAGTTCCTGCTCAGTTTTACAAACCAATCCCTTTATATCTGCATGAGGACTAGACTTCCTGGGGATGACTCTGACTGAATAATCAGTAAATGAGACAGAGCAATTGGATTAGGTATATTTGCAAGTTTGTTGCACTAAATCACCTAGTTTAGCCTGTGGCTCAGCGCAGACTAGTATTTATTTACTAAATTTATTCTCCACCCATCTTATCTAGAGGCAAATCTAAGCAGCTTACATCAGAGTAAACACAACAAAATAAAGCATTAAAATATTAAGATCATCAACAATAATATTAAAATGAAGAGAGATGGCAAGGAAGAGAGCAAAGTACAAACAGTGCAGTATCCAGTTCCAGAATCACATGCCACCTTCGGGGGCCCAGGCCAATTGGCAGAGCCAGGTTTTGAGGCTCTTATGGAAGATTAAGAGGGTGGGGACGGATCTCATCTTGAGGGCCACTGCGTTCCAGAGGACGGGTGCAGAAATAAGAGTGGTTTTCTTTCTTTTTCATCCCATTGTGATTCTTTTATGAAATGAAATTGAGCAAAGGTACCGGAATGAGTGACGTTACAATCGTGTTTGGTTCATGGGAGTAACATCCATTGCATTTGCATATTCAGCTGAAGGTACTTTATGCAATGAGACCAATTAGATCAAGCCTAAATTCCTTTCATAAATATAGTCTGGGTAATGTTGGTTTAACAGAGGTCTTAAGCTGGCTATACTACCAAAATGGCTTTTCTCTTTTTTGCTTGCTGGCTGAATTGCATGTAGTAGCGACCTCTTTTAGGCAAGGCAAATTCTCTCATTACTCCTCATCTAATAGCTATCCAGGAGTCTTGACAAAGATCAAAGCTAAATACCTTGCCACTTTTCCTTCATGACCTCCTGTCCTTTGTAGCGCAATATGTTCCCACCCTGAGATTGTCACATTAGCTTCTAGGTGTTTTGGGGCTGTTGGGTTACATGGGTAAACACTTTCCTGACATACATGCAATGCAGTCATGGTCTACAGTTGTTAATGGTTCTGTTTCCCCCCCCCTTTTTTTTTCCTTGCAAGGCCTGTTGGTAATGAAGCCAGAAAATGTAGGCTGGAAGAAGTACTTCTGTGGGTTGCTTGTGCAGATAAATCTATAAATCTTCTTTATGCTATCTTTAAAACAATAGACCTTGTAAGACTAGCTAATTCTGGATTCCCAACCTTGCTGGCAAAAGCCTTGTTGAGGTTTTTTTTTTTTTTACAACTGAAAAGTTCCAGGAATCATTGTGCTGTGTGCAGATCTCCTCCTAATCTTGTTTGGCATGTGGGATCTTGTTGTCTTGATCACAAGATGCCTTTTATGGTCTCCCTGTGCTTTGACTTCAGGTTATTGAAGTTCATATCCTTTTGCCTTCCTGTATATCTAGTTGCTTCTATGGCACAGAAGTGTGAGTTCTTCAACCTCCTACTCCAACTGGCTGTGGCTAGTGACCTTGCCCTACACTTCACCAGACCCACTAGGAACTCAGTCCCATGAAAGACATGGTATGTAAATACTCTGTTTTTCTGTTTGCCATCAACTCATTTTCAAAATTTGTTGAGTGGAAATATAATATTCAGACTGCCATAATCTGTTACCTGAATCTTTGAATGTGTCAATGTCTGAATAAGACAACTGCAAAATTTCTGTTGCTAAGCGAGATACGTGTTAAGTGAGTTTTGCCCCATTTTACAACCTTTATTGCCACAGTCAAGTGAATCACTGCAGTTGTTAAGCTAGTAAAACAGTTGTTAAGTGAAACTGGCTTCCCCATTGACTTTGCTTGTCAGAAGGTTGCAAAAGGTGATCAAGTAACCCTGGGAGACTGCGACTGTCAAGTGTCTGAATTTTGATCACGTGGATTCTGCAACGGTTGTTAAGTGTGGTCATAAGCCACTTTTTTTCAGTTTCGTTGTAACTTTGAATAGTCACTAAATGCATGGTTGTAAATTGAGGACTACCTGTATCACCAAAACAGTTTCAGAGAATGCACTGCGCTCTTAAAAAAAAAAAAAAGAGGAGCTGATCATAGCAAGCCAGGTTATATTGAAGATGCAGAAGAGAAAGGACAAATGCATACACCTTGCAGGCTTAATATGAATGCATAATAAAAATATACAACTTACAGAAGCCACTGTATTTAGAGTATTAAGGAGAGAGCTGGGTATTTCTGAGGATAGTGGAGTTAATTAGTATATAGTCAGATATGTTTGTCAAGGATCAAGTTCCTCTGTGGTCCTTCGGAAACTGCTGAAATAAGCATTAGTTATGCATCTTAGGGGGTCTGAGACTCAGCAACTTTGGGAGAACGGCAGCATTCTTCATTTTTGCTGCACCAGCAGGCCAAATGGAAGGAAAGCATGCTAGTATGGGATTTATTAAATGTTAAAAATACACGTGTGGTCATATTTTGGTCAGAAATTAATAAACTCACCCTGTACTCAGGAGCAGATTTTCTTCTCTATAGAACGCAGAGGCAGACGCATAAGGCAGCTGGCTTTGGAGTATATGCTTACAAATGGAGTTTTAAGAAATAATATTTATTCTGCAGAGTTTCTTTGCATAAATTATTTTGATGTCTCTTAGGGACACTTCTCTCTCTGGTGTCTTTAAAATTTATATAAAGAGCACATTTTGGCAGGGGAAGCTGCTATTGTGCAAGTGCTAGATTTCTCTCTTGAAAACCATTATAAACACCTCTGCCAATAATCTGAGCCGTTCGGTGAAGGCTGCAGTTCTAAGAGGAACTAATGGACACGCTCGTCTAGATTAGCATACCCCCAATATTACATGATATATTTTTTTTTAAAGTCTGCCAAAAACTGACTGTGCTCTATTTCAAAATGAAATCTATACATTTTATCATCCCATGTCAAATTAACTCAGATAAAGAATACAGGAAAAAAGATCCACCTTTTATTCTGCTCCTACAGTAAGTATTTAAAAAACAGCAACAGAGATATGATAGGGAAGGCCAATCTTCTCAAGTTTTCCTGTCTTTGCACACCAGACAGTGTGTTCCTCTCTGCTGCCTGTAAGTTGGCCTACGAAGTTTCTCAGCTTGTCCGTGGAGCGATCAATCAAAAGAGTTTCTGAGCTTTGTTCAAAGTGAATTAAGCGGAAAAAAAAGAACATCAGACTTCTCTAGTTCAAGTCACAGCTCTTGCGATCCATGTTGTAGCCAACATCTTAAATCAATGCTGGAACTTGCTGGCTTGTAATGTGGCCACTCCAAATCTCTTGGAAGAAAACCAGAGTGGGATGGACTTCACTGAGGCCATTTGTCTGAGATCTCTGGGTGCACCAAAATGGCCCTTGCAGATTCAGCCAGACACATAAAAAAAACAACAACCCTGAAGCAAAAAGAAAATAATGTCTCAGTGAACCTGCATTCAAGGACATCCCCCCCCCCCCAAATATTCTCAGATTTGAATCAGAGTTTTAGATCTTAACTCTGTACTGATGGAGATTCTCATTCGGCTCATTTCCTGTCCTTCTTTCCAGAAAGGATATCTGTAATCCAGTAGCGAAACAAAGAAGAGACTGCCATGACTTGATCTATGAAAGAGAAAAACAAATTCTTCACAAAACATGGCAATGTTTTTAGCAAGCCTGTTATCTTACGACAGAACTAAAAGTCTTTGAATTCCTTTAACGAAGCATTTCAAGAACCTTGGTAATTGTTTTACAAAAGTCTTCAACCGGTTGATCTCCAATACAAATTGCTTCCAGCAAAGAGCTTTCCAAATTTATACCATGAAGTACTGGACTTTTCCACATTACCACTTTGATCTAGTCCAGTGATGGCAAACCTTTTAGAGACCGAGTGCCCAAACTGCAACCCAAAACCCACTTATTTATTGCCGGGTGCCAGATGGGCAGGGCCCACTGGGTGGGCGTGGCTATGGTGGTCATGGTAGACTGGGTGGGTGTGGCCAAGGTGGGCATGGTCACTTTGATGTTGGTCGTGAGGAGGGATGCTTGTGGGGACCGGGCAGGGTTAGGGGAGATCCAGGGGGTCTCTGGCAGGTGAGGCGGTGGGCAAGAGGTTCACCCTGCAGGGTCAGGCGAGACAAGGCGAGGCAGGGTGAGGGTGCCATTGTCACAGGGCAAGGCGAGGCAGGGGCCAGGAAGGCTGTTGCCTGACACCATCGGCCCATGCACACAGAGGCCAGCGAGCGCATGGGGGCCGACAGTGTCCGTCAGCCACAGCCTGTCGGCCCCTCGAACGGCGCACTCTGGGGCTCCGCAGCCCAATGCCAGCAGTTCAGAGAAGCAGCTTTTGAGCTGGACTGACGGCCGACAGCTGAGGAGGCGATGCAGTGGGTTGTGCCCAGGAAAAGGAGAGCATGCGAGGGATGGGATGCGGGGGAGGGAAACCAGCTGTGCTGGGACCGACCTCGGCGAGTTAATGGGCGGCTGGTTGAAGAGGGACGGTTGCCATCTCCGGGGCATGATGCACGTGCCCACAGAGAGGGCTCTGAGTGCTGCCTCTGGCACGCGTGCCATAGGTTCGCCACCACTGATTTAGTAGTTAAGGTCCTGGAATCTGAGAGGGGAACCTGGATTCTGATCCTGTCTTAAGTACAGACAGCAACTGGATGGTTTGTGGCAGCTCACTTTCTTTCAGTCCTGGGAAAAAGGCATAAACAAACCTCCTCAAAAAAGGCTGCCTAGATGGATTTGTCTGTGTAATTACCAGGAGTCAAGGCTGAGTGGAAGACTAAAAATAAATAAAACCCCCACACCATTCTTTCCAATGCATTGCTTTCCATTTTCAATATACTTGCCATTCCCCAATGCCACTAATTGTACTGGTTTCCTTTCAGTCCTCAGTTTTACTGCCAGTCTTGCCCCCCTTCTCCTTTTTTGGGGCTAAACATTTCCTCTGTACACTTTCCCACCTTCGTCTGCCAGTATACATGTTTTTTTTTTTTTTTAAATTCTCTTTTCTCCCTGTCTCTGCTTCTGCTTTTTCGTTTCTCCCTGAATGCCTTCTCGTTCTTTACACCTGGGAGGCAGCACTGGCTCTGATTTCAAAAGCTTTCTGGAAGACCTGACCCTTTCCAGTTTCAGCTGTGGTCCCGTTGCTAGCAGTAAGTTTCTTAAAACATTATTCCGGAGGGACTGAGATCTTTGAAAAGACACCACCAGTAACAATTTCACCCGTCCTTTAACCTCTGCTTAAACTTAGGAGTTCGAGTTTCTTAACACTTATCCAGTTCAGTTCTTTGATTTGGGTTTCTTACTCAAAAATCTCTCTTAATATCTGTTTTCCCTATTCTCCCTCTTTTGCTACTTCTCTTTGAATCTTTAACACAAAATCCTCTCTCCTTTTGCAATTCATCAGTTTTCCCCCCTCCCATTCCTACCTTTCCCATCTGTTCCTTTATTTTTTAAAAAATAGGAATCAGTACATAGGCAAATTCTTGTTTGGTTTTAAACTTTAGAGTGGCTACTAATTTACACATTTTATCAATGAAGTATGATTAGACACAACTGTGATGTGCCCCAAGTTTGTTTACTTAAAATCATGTTGTTTCCAGGTATGCAGATGCATGCAAAAATTATTTTTGCTAATAGGGCAGAGGGAGAAAAAAAAAAGAATATCTCTATGTATTATATAAAAGGTGTAACTGAGAATAACCCAGAAATGTTGCTTGCAGGGAAATTCCTTGAATATCTGATGGAAGGCTACAGGCATGAATAATGTGGAGATGTGCATCACAAGCCCATAACAAAACCCATGTCAACTGAGAATCCAATCTCGTATATGTATAAAATTAGCTTTTCATCCTGGTAAGTATGCATAAGCTTGGAGCCTATGTGTATTAAAGAAGCTATACAGCATAGCCATAAATTAAGGACATTAATATTTTCAAAGCAAAAACACAATGCCTGTCTCAAAGGCTCTTCATATAACTTTTCACCCGTAAATGTTCCTAGCAATTTTTAGTAGACTGACCCACTTGTTTCTTTAAATATACTGATGTCATATGCCAAATCTACAGTGTTTGTGACCCATCCGATACCACACATATTCACATGGAATTTAATTGGAATATTACCACTGCAGGCACAGAGGAAAGTATACTAATGATAGCTAACATCCATCTCTGGCACACATGCAATTGGCGTAATTTAAATTCTTAAGACAAGTGGCTGTAGCTGGCAAATCTTGACTAGATAGTACCTGTTTGAGGTACTAGATAGTACCTGTTTGAGGGATCAAAGGAGAACACTAGAACAGCATGACAAAAATGTGCACTATCACAATATCCTGGAAGAGGATAAAACCAAACTACTTCCATATGTATCAGGTGCAAGAAGCCAGGAACCAGAATGTTCAAAAATACAGGACTACAAGTTTATCTCATACTACCTATTTACAAGAATCTGAACTACTAATGATCAAGGCAAATTGGTACCAGATAAGAGTCAACAGACTTGGGGGGGGAGGCTGGACTTATGTCTCTTATGGGGCGTAGAGATTCCAAACTGATGAGGCATTTACCCCGCCCTCAAATTCAGCCTGGTCATCTCTTACATATGGGTATAAAGAAAAATGATGCGGACGTCTCTATGAAGTCACCAGAAATCAAATTTGATCTGAGGGCACCTTTATTTTTGAAGAATAGAATCTAACTTTAATAAAGGCAGCCCTTGTCATCTGTAGTCTCATTTTGCATATCCAGATTTTGTACATGCGTAAACATTTTGTTTATCCATAGTTTGGGGTGTGGGTTTTTTTTTGTTATTCTTTGTGCCAAATTTTATATGCAAATGTATTTATTTATTCTTAAGGATTAAGGCTAGATTACTTATACCTGTATTTCTTTCTCTTTTGCTCATGATAGCTTATGCTAGCCTAGTTATGAGCTAAGCAGTCTGTGGCCAGCACAAGCAACTTATAGAGTAATCACCGAGTCTCCTTCAAGAGAAGGAGCAGAGAAGCCATTTGTGCCAATCAAGATGAAGGAGGCCAAGAGCTACAACAAAGTCATGCAGAGCCTCACCCAGTGAGATCCATTGTGAGCATAAATATCTTGCAGACAACAGCTAAAGGAAGACCTAAACTTCTAATTCCAAAAGGCACAAAATCTCATTACAGGCAGTCCTCAATTTAGCAAAGCTACAATTACAGGTAGTCCTTGACTTATGACTACAACTGAACCCAAAATTTCTGTTGCTAAGCAAGACAGTTGCTCAGTGAGTTTTGCCCCATCTTACAATTTTTCTTGCCACAGTTGTGAAGTGAATCATTGCAGTTGTTGAGTTAATAACATGGCTTTTAAGTGAATCTGGTTTTCCCAATGATTTTGCTTGTCAGAAGGTCGCAAAAAGTGATCACATGACCCTGGGACACTGCGACCATCATAAATATGAGTCAGCTGCCAAGCATCTGAATTTGGACCATGTGACCATGGAGATGCTGCAACAGTCACAAGTGTGAAAAATGACCATTAGTCATTTTTTTTCCAGTTCTGCTGTAGCTTTGAATGGTCACTAAATGAACTGTTGTAAATCAAGTTTTGTTATCTGTAGCAATGGTCCCCAACCTTTCTGGCTTGGTAGCCTGGCCTGGCACAGGGGGTGGGGAAGGAATGTGTTGCAGGCATGCGTGCGTGCACAGCTCCATTTGTGCGAGGGGTGCTCACGTGCAAATGGAGCTTCGTGCACAAGGGTGCTTGTGCAAGAAGTTCCACTTGCATGAGCGGCAGGCACTTGCATGCGAAGCTCCACTCATTTGAGTGGAGGGTGCTTGCGTGTGAAGCTCCATTTGCACGAGTGGAGCTTTGTGCACGAGCACAAGCACCCTCCCTCATGCAAGTTGTTTGCTTGCCCACCACTCGTGCGAGCAGAGCTTTATGTGCATGATATGCATCTCTCTCACAGCCTGTTTCAAACACACGGCAGTCTAGTAGTGGGCTGTGGCCCTGGGGTTGGGGACCCCTGATCTATAGTTTTATGCTGGACTGGTATGCCCACGGAAAATAAGAATAGAATTGCAGCCATCTATCTATCTTGTGCAATGTTTGTTAAATGCTAAACACCGTCTGCATGATTCAATTTTTAAGGTAGCACCTATTTGATTTCTCTTTCTTTGAATATGATTTCTATTACATGGAAGACAAAGAAGAATCCAGGTTGTGCATAGGTGATAGGATATAAACATCTATTACTAATCTAGAGAATTCACAGAATTATTAGAGGACAGTTCCATAGTTCCTTTTTGTTAAGTGCTTAGAAAACATTTTTAGCTCTCTAGTGGGTGATAATTTCCAAGGCAACACAAAAGAGGACTATTTTTGACTTGATGCTTGCTGACAAGAAAGTGTTAACAGTCTGTCTTAAAAGAAGAGGGGATTTTAAGGCCAAAGAAATGGTTCGATTATCTGAGTGAAGGAGAAGAACCTCTTAATATACTCTTGAGATGATGGCATTCCAAACTTAAAAAGACTTCTGGCTATGCCTCTGCCATGATTTGGCTAAGCATATCTCAAATTTACATGTGAAATGCTGCTCTTGCTAGCAGGCTCATATTTCCTGGTTTCCAG